AACCTTCGATGGGTGATATGTGCTCCAGCGGTACCAGTGATAGTATCTAGCACTTAATTACTAATTAGTTACATGAAATTAAGAAGATGGATCAATAGACCCACAGGGAGTCCCCAGGGACTCTCTTAAAAATTCCCGATTTTTCCCAAATTTTTTAAAATTTGTTGCTACTGATGAAAACGTTGGTAAACGTCGAAACGTTTAGCTATTTAATTTTATAATAATTGTACGAATAAAAGTATATTAAAAATCAATCAAACATTGTGCTGTATTCGTATTGAAATAATCCAATAACCTTTGTAAACTTTTTTGCATGTCTCGTCTAAAATGAGAGTAACAAAAACACTGGCATGTTCATACACGTATCTATCGTACAAATCATATATTATATATACAACGCCAGACGGCGAACGTATAGTAGTAGATAAAAAAATTTGTATATCCCCTTATATTGCCTAGCAATATCTAAACACCTGTCCGATAGCATATATTCCTTGACTTTAATCTACTGTCTTACAAAATGGTTGTTCATCTAGTTTCAACCGTTTGAATTGAATTGGGTCAAAACTAGGCATCCAAAAATCTCTACTACTGACGTGAAATTTTCAAATTTCATGATAGAATTTATGGATGCATGCCTAGTTTTGACTATTGAATTACCGCTTTTCTCTGCCATCATTGTGGTTAAATTCATAGCAACATACACTAGATGAAGACACTAGCTCAGTGAAGTGCAAAATGCATAAATGTCTAAGTTGAGAAGTTGCGTATTTGAAAGACCTTGTATTTTAATTGTTTATTAAGATTTAAAAGACGAAACTTTTTCAGCTTACGGGATCTTTTAATTTAAACTTTTTTTCTCTTTGTATGATAAATTTATTTCTCGCGTTCTAAGTGTTTTGGACATCAATGGCTGACAGACTGCATCATGTCTGTCTTCTTCTGACATAAGTATAAACTTTCGAAATGTTGCTGCAATAGGTGCAGTTCGATTTAGAAGAGTGTAGCTGTTTAGCAGACATTCCTATAGAACTTTTATCGTCACCAGATCAACTGCTTTAACTACAATTAATTTTCCTTTTGTTCAGTGATTTATTCAGTGGGTGGGCCGGATGGGCGGCGACCCAAATTAACCGACCCGAAAATTAACAGTTGATTTCACTTTAGCCAAATTTTTTTAGCCAACAGCTCCTCCAAAAATTCAACCGCCCATTCGAAAAACGAAACTTATATAAAACACTGCTTTTGTTATATTTTTTAGATGCCACCAGTGGAATTATCTCAGACGACTGTGATAGACGGCAGTACGTCTGCTACTAGTAGCACGGTACCAACTGTCACTCCACCATTTATTCCCTCATCCGTGAAATCTAAAATTGGTATTATTTATCCTCCGCCAGAAGTGAGAAGTATCCTTTTCGCTTTTTTTTCTATTTATTATGTTCTCATCTGTATGTTTAGCATTTAATGTGTTTGAAGCCTTAACATTTCACTTTTAAACAGATATTGTTGACAAAACAGCTAGTTTTGTTGCTCGCAATGGTCCTGGTTTTGAAAAAAAGGTCAAAGATGCCGAACAACAAAACTCAAAATTTAATTTTTTAAATTCGAATGATCCATATCATGCCTATTATTTACACAAAGTTAAAGAATTTCAAGAGGGTAAAACACAATTACCACCAGATAATCAAATACAAACAACGCCAACGACAATCACAACAAAAGTAAGTCGATAAAGCATTCTCAAAGAAGAATATTCTCTAGAGTAATCTAAGTGGCAAGACAAAAACAAAACTAACTCAAAGTATACAGCAACAATCTTTTTAGCTAACGATAAAAAACAGAAATTCTTTTATTACGCTCAGTAGCTGTTTCTCACTTTTCGTTGTTCCCTGTATTTACTCATAATACTATGTGTGGTATTTTTCTTTTTGCATTTTAGCTTCAATCAAAAGTACCATCTGAAATTAGTAAAATAATTGAAACAACATTTGTTCGTGATCCACCACCTGATTATGAATTTCTTGCTGATCCACCATCAATCTCTGGGTTAAATCTGTAAATATTATCTTATTTCTCTCAGGGAGAACATCTGCTATTCGTTTTGTTGCTTAACTTTTTTAGTGATATAGTCAAATTGACAGCCCAATTTGTTGCGAGAAATGGTAGACAATTTTTAACATCGTTGATGAGTAAAGAAATGAGAAATAATCAGTTTGATTTTCTTAAGCCGCAACATGGTTTATTTAATTATTTTACAAAATTGGTTGAGCAATATACGAAAATATTAATACCACCAAAAGATTTGATGACTAGATTAAAAACGGAAATCGATAATCCACAGAAAGTATGTGTTTACAGTGTGCCCGTCATACAGATAGTCACATCTAATTTCCTTTTTTTCTCAAATAAACCAGAAAGATTGACAAAAAATTCTTATTACCTCTACTGAAAATTTTCTTGTTCGAACTCAAGATATGAAGGATCAGATCTGCCCTTCATTCTAACAATATATTAAGTTAGCAAATCTTTGCTTTATTTAAAGTAAGAATCAAGTTGATACGAAGTGCATGATTGAAGATAACGTTTTGAGCTGATTCATTTTTATACTCGCGGTGTCACTTCAGGAATGTGGAGGGGCACCCTTATGAAGCGTTCAGCTTTGCAACGAATCATCTTACAAAACTATATACTTTCTTTGCAGGCGATCGACGACGTTAATTATCGTGTTGAATGGATTCGTCATCAAGTTCGAGAAAAGGCTAGAGAAGAAGAAGCCGTTGAGAAAGAGAGAGGTTTAACATTTGATTTTAGACTGCGTTATTTGTGCGTGTGTAACACGCTTTTTCCTTTTTTTTAGCTGCCTATTCTCAGATTGACTGGCATGACTTTGTTGTTGTTGAAACAGTTGATTATCAACCACAAGAACAAGGCAACTTTCCAGTAAGTAGAAAGTTTCCCGCTGTTTTAATACTTGCAATGCCGTAGTTTACTTTATGTTTAGCCGCCGACTACGCCGGAACATGTTGGAGCAAGAATGCTTATACAAGAACGTTTAGATAGAAATGTTTGTAGTTTGTTATAAAAATTCAGAAGAAAGATTGTTGACTGTGATTTTATTTCTTTTTAGAGTTTTCATCATTCAGCAGCTATGATGGATTTAGCTGACTTAGCAGCCGAAATGGATATGGCTTCTCCACCGGGGTCTCCTCAACGTACAAATGATCGAAATATGCAACATATCGATATGGATCAGGATGAAGATGAAGGAGGAGCACCAGCAGCAGTACCGAGTGCGCCAATATCTTCAATAACACTACGTTTAACACCTGCACCACCAGTCACAATACCAAACATTCCTGAAATTCGAAGAGCACAACCACCGTAAGAAGCAAAAACTTTTTCTTCAAGCTTGTTGTAGCTTCGCTATGTTTAGAATCAGTTTTGTCTTGGTTTGAATAATAATTTACAACTAAGAACTATTTTATATAATTGTTTTAAATCCTGATGCAGTTTGACGACTTTGCCTTCAACTGATATTCTTCTGTTTTTGCTCTATATCAGCCTTTATTTTACAACCTATTTTAGGTTGCCTCCCTCTTTACCACCACCACCGCCTCCACCACCACCAAACACATTGAATATGGGCATACCACATACACTTCCAACAGCTCATTTACCATCTGTTTTAAAACCAGATCAAGTTATAGTCAAGTCATACAATCCAAAAGGTATTTGTAAGGGTACCTAAATTCAACTTTTCATCGGACATATTTTGGAATTCTTTTAGAAAAAGTGATTACGTTACCTGAAACAGAGCAATATTTGATCTCACCGTTCACGAAGGAGAAAATTCCAGCCAGTCGTATTTCTGACCATACAAAATACGGTATGTATGTATTTACTTTATTTTGTTTCATATTAAAAAACCTAGCTTGAACCAGTGTTGCTGTATTATTTTAAGAAGTCATTTATCATCTACCTCAACTGTTTTGCGAAGCCGATCTTTAGGGAGCACCTAGTTGACAATTTCTCTTTGTTTTCATGATTTTTGTCTTTTTTTAGCATTACTTGATCCCACATGGATTCAACGACGTGAAAAAGAAGCGTATGAACAACAAGACAAGGACGCAGTATATGAACCTGGTTCTAATGTTGATTTTCAACTGAAAAAGTTTGCTGAGCGTCGTACCGATATCTTTGGTAAAGGCACATTGGAAACAACCATCGGTCGAAAGGTATGTGTCTTCATTTTTTTCTGCTAATCGTGTGCTAAAGCGCCTTCTTTGTTATTTTAGATTGGCGAAGAAGATCGTCGTGTCGAAGAAAAACCAACTTGGGATGGTCACACAGCAACGGGTATGTCGTGGCTAAAAGAATGGCTAGTGAGTTTACTGAACTTCTTTTGCTTTAGTTGAAAAAACATCGAAAAAAGCAATGGCTGGGATAACCTTAGAGGACCAAATAACGGCCATTCATCGTAGCCAAGGTTTACTCGATGACGATACGGCGAATAGAATAGGTCCGACGATTCCGAAATCATCACCAGTCACCTATACTGTTACGGCGTCACAAGCATCAAAAACAATTCAAAAACCTCCTCAGCCAGCTTCGAAATCTGTTACAATCTCAGCTCCCGCTCAACCTTCTACAATGCGTCCTGGTCAAGGTGGAATGCTCGTTACACCCATCACACTTCAACGTGCTCAACCAGCCGGTCTCATTTTGAATACTACATCCACTCTTCAACAAATGGTTCCTGTACGACCGATGATATCTATAGGACAAAGTGAACTTCATCCACATCCTACCGATGAACCATCGGCAAAACGAATGAAAACAGAAGAACAACTGATGCCGGAAGAAGAATTTTATCAGAAGTTTGGAAAAGTGAGTCAGATATTTTTCTCATTTCGTGACATTGTTGCTCTATATTTGATCTGCTCATCTTTAGGGATCAGTGACATTTACAGTTCAATTGCCTGTTATTCCGGAAAAATCAGAGTGGAATCTCAATGGTCAGGCTGTACCGTTGACATTACCTGTTACAGATACGGTATAATGACGAATTTTTTCTTTTGTAAACAGTAGTTTTGATTTGCTTTATATGTTTGTTTCAGATATCTGTGATCAAAGCTAAATTAAGTGATTTACTTGGTGGAATGCCGTCCGGAAAGCAGAAACTACAATACGAAGGAATGTTTCTCAAAGATTCGAACACACTTGGTTTTTATAATATGTTGAGAGGATCAGTGGTGTATTTACAACTAAAAGAGAGAGGTGGAAGAAAAAAATAGACGAACACTTCTTTGTTATTAACTATATGTGCGTGCGATTTGTCGTATTTCAATGTAATATGGCTGTTTGCATTTTTGTATATGCTGTCAATTATTCAATAAAGCAATGCAGGTTTTGAATACCTGTTCTTTACTGTAGTCGGTTTTTATTGTCTCATTCTGCTGTGCATTGGAAATTAGCAGTTTTCATAGAGAAGAGCGAGATCATTAAGCTGCGTAACTTTATTGCGCTCTGGTGTATAAAAATAGAAAACCGATCATTTTAATGTGATTGAGGGGTCATTATTGATAGGTTGGAAAATGGATAAGTTGTTGTTTTGGTAACAGGGGTTCAAAGATTCTGTCTGGGAACCTATGTGTTTGATCGATAGTTGGATTTATATATAGCTGTAAACTCTACAGAATTTTTAAACAAGGAGGCATAAGCTTTGTATTCTTATTTGCTCTGGGCTACTCATAAAATTAATGAGTATATTTTGATCTTTGAGGGTTACATCAGAACATATGGAGCTTGGAGGAGTATGGGTCGTTTGACTCGAGGTGGAAGTACTGTAAGAGTGGTAGTTTTGTACAAAACTGTTACTACTTGGAAAACATACGAAATCTAAACAGCAAATATTTTGTTTGCTGAAAGAAAGCATGATGTACTACTAAAGCTGTAATGAATAAGAAGCTCAACACAGCATCAAATATAACAGAACTAACTCGTATAAATGAAACAAAAGAATGTTAAAATAGTACGCATCGAAAATCAAAGATTTGTTACCATTTACCAAACGTAGGTTACGTCGTTACACAAGAAAGGTAGTAATACCCTTAAGAAATTAATCTTGCCTACTCTACATATGGTAGTTATGACAAAAGACAAATCACTCGTGTTTCGAACAAGCTATTTAAGTGCCAGAAGATTAAGGCTTATAAAAACTTATCTTGCACAGAGCAAATTAAGACATGAGTACTAATAGAGTACCTATGGATCAAGCACAATACTCAAATGTTGTTTCAACGATGGTTTAATAAAAACCCACGAGGGAACGGATTTAACTGTCCAAACGCTTTTTTCACCAAACCTGGTAGAATGTAGGTTATCGATCACGCTCACTCCGAATATCTATATGAGATGGGCTGCTAAGCCTTTCTCGAGCGGTTTTCTGGAAAACCAGTTTCCTAGAAACCTCAGAAAATCTTAAAACTTTCCTTAAAAAGTCATGATTGTAGCCCACGAAATTCTGATCAAAATGAGATATCTCCCACCTCTACATGATATTTCTTTGCAAAGTTATGGAATTTCCAAGAAAAGCACAAAACTCATTTTTCCTTTTTCTTTCTCGACCTTTGTGCTGACAATGAACATTTGGACAGTTTCTAATTATTTTTAATCAGGGTGGGGAGATCTTTATGGCAGACAGTCTCTTTAAAAAGTTGGCGGGTAGATTTTTTTAAACAAGTGAAACGTCTGTAAAATGAAAAGAACTTTTATTACTCCGGAGTAATAAAAGATTAGACAAATTTTAGGCAGAATAAAATTCCAAAAATCTGGCGGACAAAATTTAGAGTGGGAATGTCCCCTACTTCCTCACCCTAATCGGAAACTCTGAACCTGCTCATTTGGTTTTTGCTTCAGAACGATTTTGTATGTATCATCAAAGGAATTCAATTTTAGGCACTTTCGCGTATGGTTAGTTACTCAAGATCACTCATAAGATAAGATCTACGGATATTGTTCAAGATCATCTAATTGTTCCTTATATTCTAATTAATCTAATTATATCTAATTTCTTATATATGTGAAACCGTAGACAGGACTTATTTTGCTTTACTTTTACTGAATGGTGTCTAATTCTACGCAGTATTACTCATTAATTGCAAAAACTCTTGTTTAAAAGACAAAATGTATGCAAAAAATGTATTTCCTGTTAATAGGTCATAACAAATCATGCAGCATCAACTCTAAAGCGGCTGAGTCGAACAATGTTGAAATTGTACACATATTAGTTTATGCTTCAAAACGAGAGAGAAATAAAGGTTTATTGTTCGAGGAACTGTCTACCATATCATATATGTGAAATTATTTTCGGCGCCCTCGCCCTACGACCGCCGTTTCTATCATTCATGTTGTACAGAACTTTCAGGGTCTCTAATCGTATGTTGTACTTACCGATAGAACTGAGAAAAACATCATCGACTTATCTTAAAAATGAAATGTCTCGATTAAACTAGGTTCCTTAAATTTCAGTTTATTTTAAATAAATAATTTTTAATAAATTTGATAGAATTACATATCTTCATCTAATAGCTTACAACATAAGTTTAGTTTAATATTCATTCGTAAATACAACAATATAAATTATAGATAACAGACACAATTTAAATACTAACTTCTACTAATCAACAGTTGAAATTTTGAAGAATGTAAGCTAGAGTAAATATTTCATAGTTCCTTAATCTCGGTGGACGTTCGTTTTTCGCTCTTTTGTTTCAGATTCAGCGCTTACAGTTAATAATTCCTTCACTTTCTCATATGATAACAGGGTCAACACAGCAGCTGGTACTGTCTTTAACAAATTGGGTAATAGTCCTCTGAAGAATCCTCTTAAACCCTCGTCTCTAAATATTGTTGATACAGCGTCTCGAACATTTTTATATTCTTTAAATTCTTGTGTTTGATGCTGTTTATCTTGAATTTTCTTGGCATGTCCTGCATCTTGCAATCGACTTCTGACAATTTCATGAGGATAAGCTACTATTGATGCCAGTACTTTTGACATAGACGATGCAAACATCAATTGCCCCGTTGATAAATGATCAGTATGATCTTTCTTATTCATTTGTGCCGATTTTGTTTTCAGATATTCGTACAGAGGAAACTGAATTCCAACATGAATGAGTCCCCACATACTTGGCACAACACCACGATACAGTGAATAGATACCTTCATTTGTATAGATTTTTTTCATACAATCAAATGAATTTTTGTAATCTTGATGGTTAATTTGAGTCATCATTCGCGTTCGAATTGTCCACAATGGCGCTAGAAAAAATGAATAGTATTAGATACAAATATGAAATAAATTATCGAACTCATTTCTCACCTGTCACTATATTACAAACCGCACCAGCCGTTATTGAACTTAAACAATTAATTAATACATCATTTTTCTGTAAAAAACGAATTTGAGAATATTTTGGCTTTGCCCATTGATAAGAGCAGAAGAATATGGCCCAGTTTGGTATGTAGCCCATCATCGTTGTACCCAAGCCCTTGTAAAATGCTTTACCGCCTTCAACTTTATATAAATCATACATTGTGATATACAACGGTTTATCGCGAACATTTTTTGGTAAACGTTTTACTTGTATACGAGTTTTAATTACATCTAATGGACTGACAAGAACGCTAACAATAGCTCCAGATGTAGCACCTGCTATAGTATTGATTTGGGATGGACTTAGCGCAAAAATTTGTGATTTCGAATTCGAATGTGGCAAAGAAAGCTGCTTTTTTTTGTCCATTTGTTACTGATTCTAAAACAACAAAACATACGGTTTTTTTAAGGCAATAACATGTTATGTACGATAGACTATATTTTACTATAGAAATGTGAGAGTAACTAACTAATCTCTTCAGAATAATTAGTTATATATCCGTTGTCATATCCAATAGCATCAAATGTTATTCTAGAAATCATATTCAATGCAAGTTGTAAGTGCGGATAATGTTTGTTCACATTGTAGTTGATAAAAGCGAACTATATTAGGATCATTTTGTATGATGTAAAAATTAGAGCAGTAGAAATCAGCAATGTTGACGTATATAGTTGTTTTATAGCATTAATATTAAACTTTTTACATAAACTAGACAGACTGAACTACATTTTTGTTACTCTCACCATGCATTCTACATTTCAATATTGCTTCCTGTTTTTATATTTGACCCAGATAAAACATACGTATATTTACACAAACGGAACAGAAAAACAAAAAACACGGTTCGAAAGATAAACAACAACAAGAAAAAAGCGTTATTTTCGATGAAAGAGCACAGATGAATACTCGAGTTAATTTAAGAAAGAAATTCACCAGATATGCTTTAGATGAGTTCTTCATCATTTGAGGTAAAAAGAAAAGAGAAAAAAAAATGAATAGTCATTCATTATGACAAGTGCAGCAAACGGAAGAAAATAAAACAAACTCTTGAAAATAATTGTTTAACTTTCAGTGGCAAAAAACAGGGTTATACAACACATAGCACCGGAAACAGGCTTCATAAACGACAAGATTTTGATTTTGACGAACAGCAAAAAAAAAAGAAGAGAAAAAGCATCAGATTTATCTTGACTAAAAGAGAGAATAAAACTATTTGTTTTTTGTTGTTTTTTTGTCGTTTTGAAGATTAACAAAGAATAGAAACAACCGTAGAGAACAAAAAATAAATTATTTTTAATAAAAATTTATTCTTGTCTACTTTTCGAGCGCAAAATGATCTTATAGAAGTAAAATTGCCTCACATTTAATAGGAAATCCGAAAACAGCACAGAAAAAATCGAATTGAAAGATCAGAAGGACCGACAGACAGTGCTCAGTTTCATACTTCAACCATTGCTATACTATGCACATGACAGATATTTTTCGTCGAAAAATTATGCTCCTTTCCACCAACAAAAAAAAACAATTATTAATAACCTACATGTCAGAGAACCTTTTGGAATTTTTGAAGAATTATCTTATACAGACACCATTTTCAAATTAAGCACATATCATTACCATTCATAATTAAAACATCCGAAGTCCTGAGCTAAAGATTTGTGTTGTCAAAGAAAAAGAAAGATAAACCTGAAAAAAAATGTGTCGATAGGACTGATACAATAATAACAAAAGAAATGAAACTAGATCACTTTAAATCTTTCTATGGACTCCAGATATTAAGGACTGTTTGTTTAATAAATGAAGTTTATTAATTATCTGATAAAATTGCTTGTCGTATCGCTTTAACATATTGGGATGGTACCCAATAGATCCATATAATTGACTGTTCAGTTGTTCCTTTTTGTAATCCAACTATCGAATATTCTTCGTGTCCTTCAATAGGTTCATCAATAACATTTCGAATTTGATTCATTTGAATTTTCATTGTCGTTTCGGCTGTATTTACCCATACTTCATCTAATTCCAATTTAAATGTCAAACGTACACGTTTTTCACGTTGATTTAATGTTGACATATACATGCCATCTAAGGATGATGGTAATGCTTCGTTCACATTTCGAATACCAATCTAAAAAAATAAATAAACATAAAATTAAAAATGATATATAATATTTTAAGTGTATATTTACTCCAGCATTATCTGGCTTTCCACTCTTCAATATTTTAGCATGTTGTGTCATTTTTGATAATGGTTCTTTTTTTTTTGATTGTTGATCATCTAATGAATCTTTTGTATTTGTCCCTGATGCACCTGTTGCTGCTGCTGTTGTTGATAACATTTCAGATCTCGTTGCTCCAATTAATACTAAACAGATGAGAGACATAATTGTCAGGAACAATCTTCACAACAACAACAAAAAATGCCTACATAGTTTCGTTCCATCTGTAATGTTTAAATCTTTTAGTGTTGTTGCATCAGTTGATTTATTTGTTGATATTGTTTTGTACACTAATTTTTGTATCTTCGGATCTATATCAGTTAATTTATCGATTTGTTCTTTTAAATCTTTCAATGTATCGTAGAGACCACATTTAATATCAAATGTTTGCGTTTTATATTTTATTTTTATTGTTATTGGTATCAATGAAATGGTATTTGTTGTTGATGATGAACTAGCAGGTGTATCTTTTTCAACAATGGAAGTAGCATCGGATGTGATATTTTTATCTTCATTCGACGATAAAGGCATTTGATCTGCATCAGCTGACTGTTTTGTTTCATATTTCTCATGTTCTATATCGACATTATTATTGTTATTATTGCTTGAAGAAGAAGCGGTTGTTTCAAGTTCTCTAGCATCCATTGATGAATTTTTGATTGTTCTTACAATAAAATATAAAAATCAACAAAAACGAAACGTTAGATTGTAATTTTTGATGATTAATTGCATGAAAAACTATGATCAGTCAATATCCTTACTAGTTCTTTTACTCGAAAGAATCGTTGAAGCTGAGTATCTCGATGACATATCATTCTTAACTCCGACATAAGGGAAAGAGTGTACAATTAGGACCAGATTTTACCGTTCACCTATGGTCAACCGTAATCTACCAGTAGGTAACAGACGGCTAAACAAATTTAGTTTTAGAGAATTAATAAGAATTGGAATTTTTCGCTATGCTCTAAAATCTGAGTAAACAAATTAGATGTACAAAAAATACAAATTTTTGTGAAGCAGCATTCAAAGGAAACTCTTTATTCTATAATGTACCAGTTGGATTTGTGCGAGGCGCGAAAATTCAACTCTTCTGTTCTTACAATAAGAGTAGAAAGAAAAGATTTCGTGATCTTTTTTTTCAATAATTAAAAATAACAAATGTACGACGCTTGTTTTCTTCGTGCTAGTCATTTTCATTTTTCGTTAATAAATTTTGTACCCTCAACTGGCGAATAATGAATGGGGTTAAGAGTTTCCGAGCGCGCTTTTCTACCTTGTCCCGACATGTAAATTGCACTCAGTCTTCAGTTTTTTGATAGCCTCTCTCTTTCGTTCAGTTTTACTGTGGATGTATTCCGGTGCTCTAAAAGCTATACTATGCCTAAATTTAAGGTTATTCCGACGTTTGTACCGATTACCAACATCAAATTATGAATGTGTTATTTTTACTAGCCGAACAAATTCTTCTAAATAACGCACTTTTGGAGGAATAAAAGGTTAAATGAGGGCTTCTCACTCTCATCGCAAAACAGCGCAAACCCTAATTCTTGTACACATTTACTTAAAACGTATGGATCATTTTTGTTTCTTCTTTGTTTTCTCGTCAAAAGAAAAAAAAAGTACAGTACAAAAGGAGATTTTTTAATTCTTTGCTATGAATGGAAAACAAATTTTATTTCATGGCAAAAAGAGATTGTCTGCTGTGTTTTCATATATTTATTAAACGCTATTTGACATGTCTTGCTGTTAGAAATAGCGTTGTCAATTAGCTTTTTAATCAAAGATTTTAACGTCATTTATCTGTCTACTTTGTGGTGTTTTCGTCTTTCTTATTTGTCTTTTTTGGGGGGGATTTCTATCGTACTAATAAAACTTAAATCAACGTCAGCTTGGTATGCATGCACGCTTTAATCGAATACTTCAAACTTCAGTTAAGGATGCCTAATCAATGTTTTCACTTTTACAGAGAGCGAATTGATATGATGGAATAGAAAAAGGTGTTGGATATAAAAAAAATGCTCTACTTAGATTAATATCATGTAACAGATGAGAGTAGAGATGACCAATAAATAATTCAAATAGTAGAACGATTTTCATTGTACCGTAATTAGACGAATGAAATTTTGAAATAATTCATTTACGAAATGTTTTTTCATACGCTAGATTAACACTAAAAAAGTTCTTCTCTCATTTATTCTATTACTAAAACATATATTGATGTCTGTCATTGTATGACGAATGTAACTTATTTTAGTTGATGTCACACGTGTGATGGTCTTCATATATATCTGTCTGATGCGACTTCTAATTTTGGCGTTATAGAGGAATATTAGATATAATAGTTTAATGGATACTAAAGACCAATCGAATTCAAAGTCGAATGAACGCCTGTTTTGGGATTCTTTTTCTAATTTGCCTTGGCATTTTTCCTTTTAGTTTTTTTATATTAGCCTTAATATTTCATTTATTTACAAAAGAACCTTGATATTAAGATCATTTTAATTACAGTGAAAAAAGACTATTTTGTTTAAAGTACAATTTAAAAAAGAAAGATTTCAATGTCTAGAAGTTTTGTCATCTGCAGTAGGAAGGTAAGATTGACAGTTAGTCGTACTAATAATTCAGCCTTGAGAACATAAGTGTGGGTATATTGTATGAAGAATATTGTTTAACGTTTATATTAATGAGTTGAGAAAGACGTCATGTACGTCTTAGTGTAATTTTGTCAAAATGCTTTTATTTCTCTTTAAACTCGTTGTACTTTTAGTTAGAAGGAAATATATACTAGCTAAAATAATTTTTTTGCAGTTTATTTGGTTTACTTGATACTTCGTTTCTAACTGGTGCTTTAGATAGTGCTACAATGTCATGTTAATATCGTCGAATTAGTTTAAATTATAATTAGATCAATGCTTCAACAAATTCTTCGTGATTTGCATGTTGCTCCTGAGATTATTTCTGGTTTACCCGATGAACAAAAACAATTATTATTTTGTAAAATGCGGGAAGAACAAATTCGTCGATGGAACGAAAGAGAATTACAATTGGAAAAGGTTTCAAAATTGAAAACTCCAAAGGGTGCGTAATTGTCAACTTTCAATTTTTACCATATAAGATTAAATATTGTTACGTTTTGTTTTCGTGTTCTGTAGATGGAAAACAAGTAAAATTTATGTTGGGTTCAGATGGAAATGAATGGGTTTGGGTGGGTAAAAATCATCGATTAATAAGCTGGTAAAAGTGTTTTACGTAATGAAACTATTATTTATAGGTAATGGGTGAGCACAAAGATGATAAAACAATTGAACAAATTTTGGAAGAACAAATTGAAATTCAAGCTGAACAAGAAACAAATGCCAAAAGGTTAGATATCTTGATTTTCTCATATATAAAAATAAAAATATATCCATTTATTTTAATTGTTTAGAAAGGCAAAAGAACTGGAACTACATAAAAAAATGGAAACTGAAAGAGAACGTTTATTAAACGAAGAGTTCAGGTAAAGACAGTCTTACATTTTTAACTATTATTTTGTTTATTCTGCTCTCAACTAATTTACTAATTGGTTTGGAATTTTTTTACATCTATCCATATTACTCTTCTTTGAATACTATAGAGCTAATATCAAATATTACACGGTTTGTCGTGAAGAGTAAGTTCATGTGTGTGTGTGTGTGTGCGTGTGTGCAACTTGTTCTTTACTCGTAATGTTTTTATGTGCACGCCTTGTTGTTCATGAACGCATGAATAAGATAGTTTTGTGTGTTTTCTGTAATCATTGCATATTGATACAGATATTAAACTTGCTGTTTATCATTAAGCAAAAAAAGATCCGCACATATTTGGCTAAGTTGCTGTCATAGTTAATCGTTATTATTGACGAGACGTCTAGTCTTGAAAATTTCTTTAAACTATTTTATAAATATGTAAAGTTTTATTGTTAGCAGAAGTGCAGAATATGTCGGTAAATCCGAAAATTTCTACAGATAATCACAAAATTTCGAAAATTTTCTTAAAATTTTTGTTAAAAATGTTAATAGGTATGTTTTTTGCAAAAACTTTTCTAGCTACAATTTTTAGAATTTTCGTAACGGTTGTTAGCAGATAATAGTAGATTCTGTATCTATATTTGTCAATAACTCTTTGCTATCGTGAATGGTTCTCTCATCTCTATTTATTTGTATTTTTTTCGTTTCTCTTTCTATTAGGAAAAAACAAATTGAAGAAATTTCAAATAATATTCAAGAAGCCAGAAGAGTATTTGAACGTTTAGAAACCGAAACCAGACGATTGATGATGGTAATGTTGTAAAAAAAATCATTCATATTTTCTCTTGTCTGTTGTGGTTGAACTAAACTTTTGATAGTATGAAGTGCAGAAATCGCAAAGCGATGAAAGCTGTTCATATAGGTTCATATTCTCTTTTTTTTAGGAAAAAGAAGAAGAGGAAAATCGTAAACAACAAACATATTTTGAACGATTAAAAGAAAAGCGTAAACATGAATTATTAGAAAAACTAAAGGAACAGCAAAAAAAGTCTTTGAAAGAAAATGATGATATGGACGAAATAAATCGAGCATGGGCAGCTGTTGGTATGGTTTATCTTCTTATACTCATACTAACTTGTCTATTTTAAAAATAAATTGTTATTTAGAGGAAAAAGCCAAAAGAGCTGAATTGATTCAACGTGAGGTAGCAAAAAAAGTTCGTAACGATTATCGTAATTCAATGCAGTTGAATGTTTGCTTCGATACATCAACGACATCAACATCTTTCGCTTCGTCCTCCTCCTCATCATCATTATCAGGTTCATATTTGCATACACCATCGTCTACTGGTCTAAGTCAAGATGATGAACATAGTAAAGAAAAAGAAAACACAGTGCAAGTTGGTTGCATTACAACTACTCCAAAATCAAATGCAAATGACATATCACTTATTACCAGTGAATTGACAAAGTATGCGGAAAATAATTTACTATTGTTGCTCTACTAGTGCTAACTGAGTACAAAGTTTTTTCACAAATTATTTAGTAAATCGTCCGCATTATCTGCAAAGACCATTCCCTCGAAACGTGATGATGTTAAACAATGGTTTCGTGAATCTGAAATTTCCTATGGTTCATTTTTATCTTCAAATGGCCACATAGCAACTTGGTTTCATGGTATTGGATTATTTTTTGATCACTTCTGAAATCATATATGAGTTTTTCTTTTCTTTTCAGGTATAATAACACGAGTACAAGCTGAAGAAATGTTAAAAGTTCAACGAATAGGAACATATTTGATACGTGTGAATGAAAAAATATACGGTTATGCATTATCATATCGAGCTTCTGATCGTTGTCGACATTTACTTATTGAAGTTATGAGTTCACAATGTGGTAATGATCATTGTTACCGATTTCTTGGATCAAAAAATGAAAAATTCAAAAGTCTTAATGAACTTATTGAAAAATATAGTGTAAGTACATTAATATCTTTTAGAAAAAAAATACATATCTCTTATAAATAAAAATTTTAAAACCAATGCGGCTATCATATTAAGAATTTTAATAAAAAGTTTTGATCAAAATTTTTATTTTTTATTATTTGATTAAAACTTTTTATTAAAATTCTTAATATGATAGCCGCATTGGTTTTAAAATTTTTATTCTTAACTTTGCCCATAAACTCGAAAAACGTTATTTCTTATAAATACAATAGATTTGTATTAACGATTTTAGGCTAATTCTATCCGTCCAAATTCAAATGATATGCTCGTATGTCCACTGGGTCAGATCAACGGTCAACAACCGGACTATTTTGATTTATTTGATCATAAAACACCGTCAGATGATTTATACATATCTTTAGATACAACTACTTCATTAAATAAATCTAGACATTCTAATGAAATAAACACACATTTATAGTAATCTAAAATACAGATTTTCTTACATCGTCATTTTACTCAACAGTCTTTGATAAATCTTCTTCTTGCCACTAAAATTTGAAACTTTGAGAATTAAATTTGATAATACATTGTCCGACATTGATCTATTCTTGATATATATATTTTTCTATAAAAACTTTCTTGTCCAAGTGATAGAGTGCTTTCTTTTCAGTCAGGAATTTTTCTTTTTCAACAATCGTCATATTTTTATTTCCATTTTAATGTACAATATTTAATAGAGAGAATAAAGACAAATATTTTGTCGAATGGAGTCATAGAAGATGTCAGATTTTTTTTTATACGAGTTATTTCACATATGATAATAGTCACTCTCTTGTAAATTCTTTAGAAAACTAATATACATGTATATTTAAGAGTAAATCGCATTTCCGTTACCATTTAGCAAGATAGGATAAAATATCTATTTAAAGATTATCTATGTTGAAATAGGTTGTGTAGCATTATGTACAAAACTCAATAAGACATCTTACAAAATTTTAATGATACTAGTTTTTCAATGTATCCTTCGGACTTTGATCCACAGAATCTACGTTAAACACGAAAATAAAAAACAAAGTATACATAAGTGTAAACATTTTTTTTTCTTCGAGTTTTGGTGAAATTATACATCTTACTAACCATGAATAAATTTTGTTTTTATTTTTTATCGTTTACTTATCATACGTTGATGTTAAAAAGTGTAATTGAAAAAATTCACCAAGATAAATGGTGGATAATAGAAAAATGAACCAGTGATATTAGTTTTAGTGTATGTGTGCCTCTGTGTGTTCAGCTTTTTTTTTTTCTAAGTTTTATTCCATTTTCTATTCTTTCTTCTTTTTATACATATATATATATATATATATACGAAATACAAATACCCATCGAATTTTTTCTATAATGTTATTATTATTTTTTTTCTATCTTTTTAAATATTTTGTACATATGATATTTTACAACTTTTTTTCTGTTAGAGATAGAACAGTAGTAACTTATAAATTATGATAAAATACCGTGTTATTCAGAATATTTCTTTCTTTGACTTTTGAAATAAAAATATTACAATAATATTTGATCAAATTTTGAAAATCTTATTTTTAAAGATATTTTTATATAGAAAACGAAATATGAGTATGTTAGAACTATTCATAATATCTGTTGTTTTTTTGTTTTTGTTTATCTTTCATTATCTAAGTAATTTGATTTCTTTCAGCATCGTCTGTTACCATTTGCAAATAAATATCGTTAACATTTGCAACAGATTGTTCATCAGGTATCCATTCATCCTTGTCAATATCATTCTCTTCAAATACCTTATTCATTGTGTGAACAATGCTCATTGTATATATATCATCGGTTTTTTCAACAGTCGTTTTTATTACTTGCGATTGAATTCGAAAAATATGTTTAATAAATGAACGAAATTCATTAATCTCCATGGAATAGATAAAAAAATTAATTGTACTATTACTAAATAAAAGCCATCTCATATAAAACTTGGCATTCAATGATAATTTTCTACAACATAATGAATCAATAAATTGTGTACTAGTAAATGGTATTGTTGTTATGTAAAATGCCGTTAATAAACGTGTAACAATGGCTAATGAACGATATTTTAATAATCTTTTCTTTTGTAAAATAATTGCTGATGAATGTCGACGAATGTGATTATGAGATTGAGCATTACCACGTATCTTTAATGTTTTTAACATTATTTTTAAATGTATCCAAGTCATTGCAATGACAGTTGGTAATATAATTAAAATCATATGAATACTACTAAATACACTATTTTTCTCATGTGAACATAAATAATCACCGTTAACTTCGCCTAGAATATGACCGTGTAATGCTGGCAACCAGCACATTAAAGATAATAATAAACATAATATAATAGCTGTCCACAATGTATCACGACTCATTGGTTTTCTTTGAATAAATTTCCAATATGTATTCAAACTAACAACCAATAATAATAATTCAGACATTGAAACAAAACATAGACGAATATAAGCTGTTGCTACACAAAAGAATTTACCATATGGCCATTGTCCAACAATAATCTTTCCAATTGATAACATACATGAAAAACCTACACATATAAAAGAATATTATTGATGATTAAAAAAATATTCTCGCTAAGATCTCAGATATTTCTTATAGAAGAGAGTATAATTAATTTGTGTTATTAGACGAAATTCTACATCTAAATATAGAAATCATAATTACCGACACCAAAATCGGCACCACTTAGAAATATTAATAATAATCTTTGATTTCGATCGATTGTCGCCTGTAATTGCCATAGAAATATTAGATTCATTGCATTTGTTACTGTTGTTAGAGTTGAAACAGTAATGGCAAAAGCAGGTTTCAAATAAGAATGTACATCCAAATAGGTAACATTAGAATTATTCATGATTTGAAATAAATTTTTCCTGTATGTATTTTCATTAATATTTTTTTAGCTTTATAAAAGAAAATCATTTTAACGTGATAAATCAATCATAAAAATTTATGACAATATAGTTAGTCAATATTAGGCAGATGGTTATATATGAATAGTAGTCATTGTTTGAAAATATTTATAGTAAAGATACAACTACATTATCATAGAGAATATTGAGTTTACAATCAACTCTTTATGAAATGGAATTAGTTTCATATTCATCTCTATTATAAAAAAATTTTAGCCAATATATTTTTCAAGAGATGCAACGGCAGTTCTTTTAAAATATTTGCCACTTTGTGTACATTTGAAAAATAAGCAAAACAAGATATTGCGTGTATGTTTTCATTTACTAATTGACTGATAGAGTGATGTAATATATTTTTTTTAATTATAAAAACATCATCTAAAGACATATTTTCAATATGAAACGAAGAAAAATGCGTATTCTATTAATATTGCCCGTTGAAGTAATTAACAAACATCATGACGTACAGTAGTAGTGCATAAAAGTATCGTTCTATAATAGGTTAAATACGTTAGCAATTACGGACACTTATCGATGATATGAATTTCATGTGCTAGATATTTAAAAACTTTACAATAAATTGCACTTTTGATATTTCAAATTTTTTTCAAAAGATTATTTATTTACTTGATTGATAAACGTTATATTTCGACTTGAAACATTGTCCTACCTAATAGTATTCTTATAAAGTTTTATGCTTAAATACTAGATGAATCAAGATTTGAGTCAACTGAAGGCAGACTCTAACAAAACACCTCTAATATGGAAGTTCGAGGAGGTTTAGCAAACTATGTATGTCAATTACGCACGACGACATTGAGATTAGGTATGCATCAGTTATACAATTAGCATTTAGATCATCTAGAAAAATAATTATAACACTTAGTTATAATAATCAAACACTAACAGGCTGAGGCTCAGCTTATTGAACCTCAGTAGGTTCTGAGTTTTATTAACCCATAAAAATACTAGATTTTTAAATTTTGATTTTTCTGAATTTTTCTGCATAAAAAGATGTATCGAAATAAGGTCAGTAATATATTATTTTATGGAATTTTTAGATTTTCGACCTTAGATCTCCCATAAATTTTCTTAGCCAATTTTCTATCATTTGAAAGTCGTAGCGATTATTTTGTGAGGCAAATTTTATGCTTTTTCTTTCAACAATATGCTGCATAATAAAAATATTTACACATCTGAAAATAATCGAATCATTTATTTAATATTCCCAAATGGGGATCGTGGTACTCTATGGGTTAACACGAAAAATTAATTCTTTCTATTAATTGGCTGATCTATTGAAATTAAAAAGCAGTTGTAGACTTTTTTAACATTGAGATTTATTGTTCCTGTTAAATGAGGTTGACACATAAAAAAAAAAGAGTAAATATTTCACACATCATCAGATGAGATAATTTTAATATTCAATATCAAAACTAAAAATTAATGAATAAATAGCAACAACAGATATAGATAGATCACAAAGAAGAACACAGATGTACTATTTTTAGTTATAATATATACACATACCTCTTGTACAATTATGCTGAATATAAAAAAAGAAAACAAGAGAGAACAACAGCAAAATAGATTTATTTTCGTTTTCATGATGATTGAAGGAAATATTTATCTATAAATGTGTGAATGGAAGATGAGCTTTTATAATGCCCATATTGTGGAGTGTGAATAGAAAGCAATTCTGTACACTTTAACCGAGTGTGTTTCAAAGTCTATTAAAAAAATCGACTGTCTTTTTGGAAGCCCATGGTACGGTACCAATTTCTTTGGAGATTTTTTGCTACTAAAAATGCTGTCCACGTCAACTAGTATTGAGTTGCTTCGTGCGCTATCTCGAGATGTTTACTGTACTTTAATCAATAGCGAAATAGATAATCACGAATAATGTATTCTTGACATAATATGACTGTTGTTAAATCGTCACAGTTATATAAGTTGAATACAATTCTTAATCCCAAATAGAATACATGTCTTATATATTGTTGTTTACTATCCGTGAAAAAGAACTATATTGAGAATAGCCAATAAAATGTGATAGTGCATATGTATAGAATAGAATACAACGAATATTAATAAAGATTAATGGAATATTTTGAAAAATAATTTTTAATCCATTATAAATATTTTTAATTAAATGTATATGCATAGATATGTGCACACCCATCCAAGTTTAGCTGTGATGTGTATTCCAAGATATTTAAAAAATTTGACAAACTTAATCTGTATTCCACAATAGATGACATTTGGATAACTCGATGCATCGACGCCGTGTACTAGCATCGCTTTCGTTTTATCAACGTTGACCGGAAGAATATGATCTTCCGTATATTTTGCTAATATTTTCATCGCAATGTTTGCTCTTGGTTTCGAACTCAATAATATGGTGTGTAAGTTTTTTCTCTAGTGTAGTGCACCTGATATAACGATTGCAAGATCGTCAGCGAAAAGATGGCACACTAAATTGCCAAGAGAAAAAGTGTAGCCGATAACACTGATCCTTGTGGTGATCCGACATAAATATCGATGATTCAAGAAACTGCCTCCCCAACATGGACAGATACTATTCTCTCTTGCAACCACAGGAAAACCCGGCAATGAAGTGGAAGTGAGAATTCCAACTCTTGAAGACACTTCAGGAGAGCTGGGTGTCACATTTTGTCCAACGCTGACATAACATCAACAAGAATGACCAGGATAGACCTCTTGCACGCAGCCATTGTCGTCTTAAATCTTCGACCAGGGATGATGAATCCATGTCTGAAATCTCCTTTCGAGCGTAAATCTAGACTGTTCAACCGCGTATATTCCCTTATCCCTGCACCATTTCAATTCTCTTATGGATGATTCACTCAAACCATTTGCCAAAGTTAGATAAAAGTGAAATCGACCGAAGATTATTCACGTTTGAGTATAATCCGTCTTTTGAGAGATGTATGGCTTTTCCATGTTTACTTGATTTTATAACTCTTCCTAGCTGATCGATCTTGTTGAAACCAACTGTTATTATTTTGAAATATTCAACCGGCAGCTGCTTTAATAAAAATGCAAATGTACCTTCTCTGTCGGTTAATTTTTTATTTTTTTTCTGTTTCCAATTCTTTTCCACCTCCGCCATAATCACATTTTCTAACGGAATATTTGATGTGTATGAAACGTTTTCATATGCTTGTAGTACTTTCACATGAGCCGATATTCTTGGATCATGTACTGGAGCGTCGAAGTACTTTTCAAAAAAGTCAGCTAGAGTATCAGCAATTTTCTGGTGATCTTTTACCACACCAGCTGCTCTAGTGAGACCTCAAAATGATGGTGAATAAGGGTGAAATGTCAGATGAACGTATTTCATATTCATTCATCAGATGAGCACTATCTTGTTGGTTCATCAGCTTCGGGTTACATTCAATTTTCAACGATGGAAATCGATCATTGATGGCAAATCGTAATGCCTGTTGTGAGATAGATATATTATTATTATTCACTGGATTTGACTGTGTTATTTTGATTTGGCTTTGAAATGTTATTTTTAATATATCTGATCTGTCATTTTTATGCAAATAGGAAATTTTCATTAAGAGAAAGAAAAAGGAGCGATATATTTTGAAAGACAGTGAAGCGGTTTTTTTTATAAATCAAAAATATCACAGAAAATTATTTAGTAAAACTAGTTTAGTATAGAAATGTTATATTTTCTAGAAATCTTCCGAAGTACACTAATGTTTTATACTATTCTCAAGTAGAAAACCGTAGTATTGAACAGGTAAAGTAAAGTACATCTTGGATAAATGTTGACTGGTTTATAAATTTTTTAATTTTACTCAAAACAGACAAAAGTAGTTTATTTCACCGAATATACATCTTCACTAGATTTCTGAAGCTTTCATCGTTTAACAGATGAATTTCTGGTAAATTCTCAAAATTTTTCAAATTAAATACTGATTAATAATGAAAAACGTGAAACATCTGATCAAAGAACAACTATGTACAGAAAAAGAAGAAAGGCCATGGGCAAATACAAAAGCCAGAACAAGTCTGCTTGTGTAAAAAATGAATGAGGCGTTCGACTGGCTGAAGAATCTTTGCCTCCTCATTCTGTTGTTTAAGAAAACTCGTGATACGGATATTAGAACGGATGATGGTATCCTCTCGTTTCGTCCCGTCTCATTTCGTCCCACACTCGTTTCGTCCCGTTTACATTTTCTATCATTCTACTCATTTTATAACTATTCATTTTTTTCTATCAACTGTATACTAATTTAATTTTAACGAAGTCATTTTGTATACTCCATCATAGAGTTTAACTGTTTAACGGAAAAGCTTTTGTAGCACGGATCTGACGGTTTAACTGACGGTTTGACCGTTACATTGTTTCATGGACTATAAATTGAACTATCATATGCCTTCATGGCACCATTTAATACAACAACATTTATGTAATAATAATGTTCTATACAGGAACAAAACGTCGTGGCAAAATTCTTAATTTTAACGATCATCAATATACAAAAAAACGTTCAAATAAATCAACTGATGAGTGGCGTTGTCGAATTAGAAGTTGTAATAGTATAATTGTATTAGCTCGTGATGCTTCGACAGTTATTCATCCACCAACAGATCATTCACATATACCAGATCCAATTCAAGCAAAAGTTGATGAATTTAACAATACGTGCAAAAAACGTGTGAAAGACGTGCAAAAGTTGATGAATAAATCAGGGAAAAAAAACTGTTCGAACAGTTTTTCTTCCGTGATTTAATGTATTTTTGACTGCTCTACGATGAGATGTTTGAATGAGATGTTTCACAGCTCTGAGTAAATCGTAATAACTGATGTATAGCAATTCTCCCGGATGCCCCCAACACCAGTTAAAAACTGGTGCATATCTACATTTAGCTTGTCTTATCAGATATGTATATGCTGAAATGATGGGAAAAGAGCTCTGGGAGTGTGTAAGTCGTGCCTGTGACACAATATATCGTGTTACGCATAGAATTCAACACTATTTAATTTTTTTCCAATATTATGCCGCAATAGCATGTGATTTCAGTTTTTCTCTTTTTATGTTATAGCTTTTAAGAAAAATAGAAAACTAATTTAACTTATCTGTGACTTTTCCCTCCTTGACCCACTTTAGAAACATCTATGATAACAAATCTTCTTATTCTAGTCTGAACTCCCTTGAACAACGTGTTTTTTCTATGTAGGATATTATTAGTCTCAATTTTATTTTTGACGACTCATTAAATTACCATATAGAATGGAAGGCGTACGTTCACACCCTCACCATCTCTCATGCAATCTCTCCCTCTCTCTCCCTCTCTTATTCTCTCTGTTCCTGTTATTAATTATTTGAGCTTAAAAAGATGTAAAGTATTACATTTATGGCCCATATTTATGATTCTAATAAACGAATAACAAGGTTTTGATGCACTTATGGATATCTTGTTTATCTACAACGAATATGTAAAAGTCAAGATGATTCTGTTACGAGTAAGGTAAAACAAAAAGTCTGAGGTATTGTGTTTTTTCTATTATGATGCTTAGACATCGGCTACGTCTCAAAAGAGATACAAATCTAGATTTTACAATGTATCTGTTTTAATCAATTAAAAAGTATCTCTTTTGACAAACGAGTATTTTGGCAAGAAATTGCGTTTCTCAAAAGAAATGCAATTACAGATATGGAATCTCTCATTTCTCAAAAGAGATACATTATCTCTCATTTCTATATTCCAAATAAAAATTAAATTAAATAAGAGGTAGAAACAATCTAGATTATCTTAAGTGGTAATTAGTACTTATATTTAAAATAATTTTTGTTTTTAAAAAAGCTAATTTGTCAACTATTTGTAATTTTAATCTTTGCCGTCTTCGTCATCATCCGGGATTACTCTCGTTTCGTCCCGTCTTATTTCGTCCCACACTTGTTTCGTCCCCTCTCGTTTCGTCCCACACTCGTTTCGTCTAAGTTACATTTATTATTTTATTTACGAGTTACAATGAAACAGGTAATTTTACAGTATAGTATTAACATTAATAGTGGAAGAAACAACCAGAAATTTTACAATTTGGAAATATATTACTTACTGCATTAAATGTTGCTTATTCAAAATCGGACACAGCACGTTTTGTTCAACAACAATATTATATTTATTTGCTTGTTCAATAATTGTTTTCAATATTTGTTCATATGTTTTACCACTTTTATCCACCTTCATCTTTTATCTAAATATTCAATACCCTATTTGGAACCAAATACCAATAAACGTGAATCACTTTCAAGTAAATCCTTGATAATAAAAACATTATCACGAAGATCAGTACCCCCACTTTCCAATTAACGTAAGATCTGACACTGATTTTGGTAATTTTGGATAATTTTTTAATCGTTCACGATAAAATAATGAATCAATTGATGAATATGACGGTAAAAATGATATGTCATTGTGTTTTAAACTACATTTAACTAATTCTTGTTTAGGAATTTGGGATATTGGTGTTGTTTCTTCTCTTGCACGTTTTTTGCACGTATTGTTAAATTCATCAACTTTTGCTTGAATTGGATCTGGTATATGTGAATGATCTGTTGGTGGATGAATAACTGTCGAAGCATCACGAGCTAATACAATTATACTATTACAACTTCTAATTCGACAACGCCAGAAAACAACACAGATATTTAATTCGTACAATTAAAAAGCAGTAATAAATAAATTCTTTCTTTCGCATTTTACTCTGTTATCTCATCCACAAAAGTTATCCATGATATTAGCACCAACTCATATCTATCGAAGACCTTCTTGACTCTTGCTTCTACCTCGTATTTAATTTAATTTTTATTTGGAATATAGAAATGAGCGATAATGTATCTATTTTGAGAAATGAGAGATTCCATATCTATAATTGTATTTCTTTTGAGAAACGCAATTTCTTGCCAAAATACTCGTTTCTCAAAAGAAATACTTTTTCATTGATTAAAACAGATACATTGTAAAATCTAGATTTGTATCTCTTTTGAGACGTAGCCGCAAAATCAACTAGATATTGTATTTTGCTCGACGCTAGATACTTACCTTAATCACATTCGCACGCCAGTACCGATTAAACAATTAAAGGTATCAAATTAGTTTTGGAATGAGTTTTTGTAAGCATTTTGATATTTATTTCATAAATATCTAACTCTAGTTTCAATATTATCTTCCTTAATTTTAATCGTATTTGATGTCTCATTTTTTTATTCAACTCATAAGACCACAGCCCATGATATATATAGAAATTTTTCATGAATTGCTCATAATTAATGAGCATATTTAATAATACTGTGTAAATTTATTACCCCAATATATATAAAATTACATCAAAAGATTTAAGATCATAGAGTCTGCTGATTTTGAGCTATTAAGATGCAATTTTTACATATGTTGTAGGTATGACATGACGAATATCTTTTACCTGAAGAGTATATCAGAAATCTACTTCTGAAAAGTACCAGAGGTTGATTTCAGGAAACTCCATGTATTTGAATGGACCGGCTGGAATTATCCCAAGAAAAATAACTGACAGGCCCAAATTACTCCAATCGATAAAAATAAAAAAATCAGAAATCTAATCATGTCTTATTGTATTTTAATTAACTTCATTAGAATAGGTGCTAATAATTTCAAATTTGTATGACAGGTAGAAGAGAAGAAGAGCTTCAAACTGGTCTAATTTCTACCTGATTAGGGCTTATCGTTAATTAGCGGATGTTTGTTTCCGAAAACTACATGCATTTGAATGGACCTGCCCGAATTATCCCACGCAAAATAGCTTATCGGTTTGAAAGTCACCATCTTCTTTTGAATACTGTTCGAAAACGGAGAGAGATTTTTATATCAGCCGATAAAGAACTGTTGGTTCTACCTTCATATTCAATAGCACGCTTTTGCGATTCAAAACGTCTTGGAAATACGCAAAATACCAAGAAACTTTTTGAAAGTGGCCGAAACGACCCCATACGATTCTATACACAAGAGTGCATAAACAAGTATATACGAAACCGAAAAAACCAGGATCAGCAACTTGAGTGGTACAAATCTCGATCGAAGGAGTTGCTTGCTATACTAGTTATTAGGATTTATGACTACGATCTCATAATGAATCATCTATTATCTGACATGAGACGTTCTAAATGTTATACTATTTAGTTTTGAATTTGAGAAGAAGTGCTAATTTTCTCTATTTATATAATCTCATTTTTCTACATAATTAATATAATAATAAATTTCTCTTTATTTCGTGAATATAGATTGTCATAGAGTTTTCAAGTATTGTACGTTATTAGCAAAATTGTGCTAAGATATTAATAAGCCTTAACCTATCCAACAATATAAGAATATTCTATTTCATAGTTGAATTTTTTCTAAAATATATATAAAAACATTCTAAGTTGATTGAAGATGAGTTGACGAATGTGACTACACGATACATATTGAGCTGACATTATTTAATAGTTTTTATTAATAATCGTCTTATATTTACAGTTTTGTTTTTCTTATAACTAATGTCCATGTTCGCTCATTGTATCTGAATTTTTGTTCAAATGGAAACATGTTATTTAAACAAACTTCAACCAAATAAAGATTGAGCTTGTCATTCATCAGATTTTGAGGAGTTTACTACTAAAGAGGCAGAATACATTATCGTTATTATAAATATATATGAACAATTATTATATCTCATCAATTTTGAAAGAAAAAGAATGATAATTTTAGATAAAAGTTTGGAACAAGAAACAAATCTTTCTCTCTTTCTATTCTGTTAATGGTCTTTTCATTCTAGATAGTTGATTTTGTCATGTCATACACATAGTTAAACAAATGAAAATATGAATGCTATGATTTATGCAACTATTAATCAAGACAAAATTATTCATTTTTGTGAGATATCATTAGAATTATGGTATGAGATGTGTGGTTAAGAAAATGATGACAAATAATATTAGCCAAATATAATTAATAACCATATATAATGAATCAAACATTTTCAAATTTGACGTTTTCGTTCCAGATACCCCAATTTGATCCAAAATTAAAATTTGTTGAACAAGTTGTTTTAACAACTATATTCATATCAGCATTAATTGGAAATATATTCGTTTTGACACTTATTTTACGAAATAAACATCGACGTTTTACCAGAATGCCATTTTTTATTTTAAATTTAACAATAGCCGATATTCTTGTTGCACTATTTTGTGTTTTTCCAATGTTAATTTGGAAATCGACAACAACATTTTTCGGCGGTGATATTCTATGTAGAGTGATGGCGTTTATAATGTTAACAGTCACATATATATCCGTTTATACATTAGTTCTAATGGCAATCGATAGATACAAAGGTAAAAACAAATATTTGTTATGAGAAGGACTGGATACACACTGTTTTATTCTATCTTTTATTTTTCTTATTAACGTTTAGCTATTGTTTATCCATTAACAACTTATACGTGGACTGCTCGTTCTGGTTTATTTCATATAATATTTGTCTGGTGTTTAAGTTTTTTATTGGCAACACCACAATTGTTCATATTCGGAGTTGGAATCCATCCAGCTTATATAAATAATCCAAATGCTAAACTTAGTTGTGTGGCAAAATTTCCCGTCAATGATCCAAAATGGGAATTAACCTATATCATTTGGACAAATATAGCTCAATTTATTATACCAGTCTCTGTACTTCTCTTTTGTTATGGTTCCATCTATTTATTAGTGAGTAAAAATTTTTCCATGAGACGTTTAATACACACAAAAAATAATAGTTTTAATGCAAGTACAAACCATTTAAGTATCAATAACAAATCGTCGACCATATTTAACCATCTTATTGGTACACATATTCATGTTAATTATCATTCAGCAGCAAGTAGATGTTTTCGACAACAACCACCACATGTTTTAAATTCACGTTGTCCGACAGTTGATTGTATTCCAAATAGTGCAAATGGTGATAGTTTCGATAGAACAGTTACTTATCATAAAAACCAGCATCGAAAAAATGTTTATATACGAGATGCTATGTATCCAGTTGTCATACGTTTAAGTCGACAGAGTAATATTTCAGTTGAAAGTGCAGATGCCTATCCTAGACAACATTGTGCAAATTTTCTATCACGAGCAAGACTAAAAACGATTAAACTCACATTTATTGTTGTCATTCTTTATATTATTTGTTCAACACCGTTCTATGTTGGATCCATTATTATGACATTGAATAATAAATTTATTTCAAAAAAAACAGCAAGTAAATAGCAATGAGTCCTAAATACAAAATAAAAGAAGAATATTCGTTGTAAATACATATTATATTTGTTTTAGACTGGCTTTATACAATATTTAGTTTAATGTTAAATTTAAATAGTTGTTCAAATCCAGTGATATATTTGACATTAAGTGGTGGCCTATTTAGGTAAGTAAAGTTATGTGTATTTATATCAATTTCGATAGACCTAAAATTTTAGTTTTCGACCGAAAAAACATTATAGACCAGTACAAAATATAATATTTCAAGTGAGTTTTCGTCTCCTAAAATATTAAATTTTCGTTCAACAGTTTTCTGATTGTTCAGAGTAAACTTTTTTAATTTCCTAACTCCTTGAGAATAGGAAAAAAACACGCTTTATTGCACTGTTTATTTCTTTTATATACATTCAATAAACGTTGTTTTGTATCACTAGTTTTTACTTTATTCTTCAGCATGTATGTCGCATTTATCAAACTGTGTTTATGAACTATTATCTATACCAAAATATAAGGCAGGTAGTTGCTTTTTGAATAACTCAAGGACAGTAAAAGATAGCGACTTGCGGTTGTCAGCAATCGAAAGAGGACAGTTTAGCCTATACGTTCATAAGCAGAAACGATTTTCGAAAACACTAGGAGCTCGATTTTCTACAGAATCTTTCGAAAACGATTTTGATCAAGATCGATATTTCCTTAAGTGTGGTGGTCTCAAAAACGAATTGAGACATAGGTAATCGACCGCATTAAGTCTCATAGCAATGTTTGCTTTTCGAAAAAAATCCAAAAACCTAGTGGAAATCTATATTAGGTGAACTATCCCATTTTTGCCTCTTTTCGTGTAAAACTAGAATAGTCCTAACTCAGTCAGAATCGATGCAAACTAAGTCAGAATATCCAGATGTACTCTATTTTATCTGCTCAATCGGCTTCTGTGCTTAAGATCAGTAAAAAATCTTCTCTTACTTCAGAAGGCTGCTAGAAACCTTTTCAACTAACCAAACCTTGTTCTACTGAAGTTGACGATATAGTGTAGATAAAACAGAGTACATCTTGATATTCTGACTTAGTTTGCATCGTGATTACCACACCTAAGGGCAAGAGGTGGCTTAGTTCCCATTTTGGAGAGGACACTTTGGGCTACCTATCTATGTAAAAAAGTTAATATATTGCTATGTCAAATTTTCGTCTTATGAAATGGTTTTCCAAAGATTCTGTGAAAAATCGGACTCACAGTGTTTTCGAAAATCGTTTCTGCTTATGAACGTATAGGCTAAGCTGTTCTCTTTCGATTGCTGAAAACCGCAAGTCTCTATCTTTTACTGTCTTTGAGTTATTCAAAAAACAACTATCTACCTTATAGTTTGGAATGGATAATAGTATGATTCCAGTTTTAGCTTACGATTTTGTGGCATGTTTGGCATATTTACAGGCATGATCAATATTAATCACTAGTGTGATTAAGAGGTACTAAACTGGTTCAGACTTAACTGAGATACAAATTATATTCTCAACTGAGATATAATCCATATTTTAATCAACTATCTCAATTGAGAATACCTCACGAGGGAACTTCACCAACTTGAAAATCGTTTGCGGGCCAAAATCCAGTGGATCATAGGTTATCGATGGTCCTGAATCCGAATATCACCATGAGGTCGGCTGCTAGATCTTGCATGACCTGGTTTTCCAGAAACCTCAAAAAATTCCGAAACTTTTTCTAAATAAGTCATGATTGTAGCCCGCAAAATTAGGATCAAAGTGAGACATCTCCCAGCTCTACACGACCTTTCTTTCCAAAGTTATAGAATTTACAAGAAAAGCCCTAAATTCCTTCTTCTTCCTATAGCTTTGAGCTGACAATGAACATTTGGGGCTGTTCTTGTAAATTCTATAACTTTACAAAGAAAGGTCCTGTAGAGCTGGGAGATGTCGCATTTTGATCCTAATTTCGCGGGCTACAATCATGACTTATTTAGAAAAAGTTTCGGAATTTTTTGAGGTTTCTGGAAAACCAGATCATGCAAGATCTAGCAGCCGATCTCATGGTGATATTCGGATTCAGGACCGTCGATAACCTATGATCCTCTGGATTTTGGCCCGCAAACGATTTTCAAGTTGATGGACTTCCCTCGTCAGTTGAGAAACCAATATTTCTGCGAAAATATTCGTTTCTGAACTGAGATACATTTAATAAAATATCAACTTGGCGAATTTCTCAACTGAGATACAATTTTGACTTGAGCGTTGAAACGTGCAATTGTGCAGCATACACAGGTCTATTATTCAATAGTGAATGAAATGAAATTAAGTATCTGATGTATCTCTACTGACCATCTGAGGAATTATTCCTGCATTACATGGTCAAATATTACCATGTATTAATTAAATTATTATCAAGTAATCGCATATATGGAAAAAACGTAACAATAAAATCGGTTCTTATTCATTGCTCTCGATGTTATCATCGGTGCTTATGTCTGAATCACGAGTTTTGTTAAAGAACATCTAAGTAGTTGTATGAACATGGCGTGAAAGTCGCCGAAATTCTTGTAGATTTTGTAGAACTATTGAATAATAGACCTATGTACTAGAGATGGGCACCGGGACCGAAAAATTTTTCTGATCCCGGTAAAAGATTTGCGTGACATTCCATTAACTTTAGTGATAAACTATTATTTGATCACGCATTTTGTACAGAAATGTTTGCTCTTGCAGCCTATAAATTTTAATATATATCACAGGTCTTCGTTATCAATTAATTTAGCAAATATAATGACCAGGACCAGATTGGTCCCGGTTGTACAGGCTGAAAGAGCAAACATTTCTGTACAAAATGCGCGGTCAAATAATAGTTTTACCACCAAAGTTAATGGAATATCACGCAAATCTTTTACTAGGATCAGAAAAAGTTTTTGGTCTCGGTGCCCGTCTCTACTTTGTACACTGCACTCTTGCACAATTGCACGTTTCAACACACGTGTCAAAATTGTATCTCAACTGAGATAGTTGATTAAAATATGGATTGCCTCTCACTTGAGGCGCTACGACTAAACTGTTATCAAATGCCATTATTTTTTCGTCAGTTTTATTTGGATGTTCAGAGATCACGTACAAAACAGCACATTTTGAACTTCTATTAGTTCATACATTAAGGTTGGGTTCGACTTCATGCGGTTTAATTAAAAGATAAAACGAACCGTTCTCATTCCTATTCGTACATTGCTCCGCATGACTCCATATTATCCGAAAAAAGTCCTTCCATGTAAATTGCCACAAAAGAACTTGTTACTCCGTTTTGGTTTCTATTACTTCTGTTCTGTTACTCTGCATTAGATCAACATATCACGCATCTGTTTTTATCTGATTGAAATAAATCTAAGCTTTACGTTATAATTGATCATTATTTTTTATTAGTATAAAACTACAATGTCTCTGATGGATTTCTAATTAATTACATTATTCTTTCCGTTCTTTAATATGAATGTGAAACTTTGTGAATAGTAACTTTGCATGATACAGAAATCATATTGTTCTTTACTTTGCTGTTTTTAACAAACATTTTTATATATTATCAGAAATACCTGTAGTAACAAAGATCGTTAGAACAACTATTCAATGCATGCTATGATTGTATCTTATAGTTCAAAATTGTTTTAAAGAAAAAGCTTTTTATTCTTTATGTAACGTTTATTTGTCGATTCAAGATCACACCATTCATTGTAATTCATTTCACTCGGATTTGGTAGAACAAAGTGAATCTGATATCCTTCTTTCGTGCTAATATTACGGAGAAATCTGGTTGTAATAATAAAAAATGAATCGTGAACTATATATATATCCAAGCCCAAAAATGATATAGGAAATTTTTTATTGAAAAACGGCTAATCAAGCCTAACGAATTTTCAAAGACGCGGTGCTATAGGAATAAATGATATTCTATCATACGCATCATTGTATCGAAATATAAAACGAATAGATCTTGAAAATCATTCCACATTGATCCTACGTACAACTTTACAAAGACAATAATTATTAATCTGTTATTGTGATGTTACATAATAGAAATTGATCATTATACTTTTAATGAGTTATTCACTGATAATGGTAAACGTTGTCGAACTTTGTTTTTTAACTGAAAAAAGGACTCAGTTACAAAGAGGACTAATTCAGGTTTGACTGGTGATAATTGCACATTTACGATCACTGCACGTTCTTGTTCATTAAATGCATCTAAGATTTTCTAAGATTAAAACATAACCAATTAAAATGATCAGTTTCTATTATGTAATATCAAAATAACAGATTAATAAGTATTATTTTTGTGGAGTTGTACGTGGGATCAATGTCTATCATGATTTCTCTGAGCTGAGAGTCAACATTCGTATTTAGCCTAACAATATCATACATTACATTCATGTGGAAAAGTTTTTTCAAAACAATGATAACCCTCGTTCTTCGTACTTCTTTTATATGATGTATTTAGTAAGGACTGAATGCATACATTGTAAATTTCTGTTCTGTTGCTACTTCTCAACTATATATACATATAATTATATTCAAGTCATGTTCGTTATTTTCAATATAATAAGCAAAAACAGTAGAGTGAAACTTTTGGCCACCCTTGTAGAAGGTTATGATGTAATTGTGAGAAAAGTAAAGAAGAAGACATCCATGAAGCAAAAAACATACGGTCAGTTTAGGCACAATAGAAAATCATGATAATATTTGTACCAAAAGAACTTCAAAAATCACAGTCTACAAGTTCAATGAACGAAATTGGTTCTAATCGACAAAGTAGTAATCGATAGACCGTCATTCAAAACTCAACATTATTTCTTTTCAACTGATGGAAATGAGAATAAACATTTGACAGTAGATAAATAGATTTGATGTCTTTTTGACACAAATCTAGACGAGTTTTATCTTGTTTTAAGAAATATTATGTAGCAACAAGTAAGAGTGATGTCTGTATATAAAACTATAATTAGCATAATTGAGTAAAACATTTTTCCTAAAATTCTCGTATTTAATGCTATTTGTGAATAGAAACTATTTTTTTCTCTTAATGATGTTGAGAAAAAAAAAAGTACACTGCTAATGCTTAATCGCTCAGTATAATTATCTATTGTAGAAAGAATTTAGAAGATTTAAATTTTGTGCTATTTACTGAATTGTTCACGCTGACATAAACTACACGCTTTCATTCTATCACTTGTTTTCTTTTGATAATTTCATTTGAGTGAAGGTTTTTATTTTTGTTCTGCATGGATTTATACTGATAAGTTTTTAATTAATCTTTGTGAAGATGAGAACAAATAGTGAACAAAGATTATTAAAGAAAAAAAACAAAGAAGCCAAACTTTATGTTAATGTAACGTGTAACCAGTAGTGATTTAATAATCACGAATGCATGTGTTCTAATCACAAATTATTAATACTTCTTTAATGATCTCCAATCTGAATTCTTATTCTATTCTTTTTTATTTAGAAAACATCCTCGGAGAAGCAAACTTCCGGCACATCGCTTAGAAAAAAATAGCTCTGTGAAACGTAGTTTGGCCTGGTACGAATTATAATTATAATAAATAACTTCCTGGTGAAATGACTGAATATTACAAAAATAGAGACAATGATTACAAATGACGCCAGTTTATTCGTCATCAGGAGAAAAAAAATGAAAGAACTAGAAAGTCTTAAAAATAATTGAATATGATGGACTTGATAATAATAACAGATTGCCGTAATATATAACGTCAAGCGCTATGCACAAACAGTGACGTCAATGTCGGTTTCCTTTGTTTGTATTATATAACGCTGAGAAAATGAAGTTGACCAGCGAGACAATCATTAGTGAGTGTGAATATGGGATTGTTCAAGGACTATGAAAATGCACACGTCAAAAAAAGAAGCCCAGACAATATTTCTGCAACGAATTGGTATGACAGATTAAAGACAAAATCTATATCAGATATTTCGCACATCAAGTTGCAGATGTATCTATTTTGAGAAATGTAACTAGTGCGCCATAAAGAATAAACTGCTCAGTATTTTCGATGGATTTTTTTCCTCTAGACCTTCTTGACTTACTTCTTTTTTGAAAAATTCCCCATTTAATTTTCTACAAGATCGTACATAGATAGTCTGATAAAGGTCAAAGTTTCAGTTTTGCTTGAAAAAAAACAAAAGTCTTCCAGAAGTCTCAACTTTGTGAAAGCATTTTAATGAGCTTTATTCGTAGCAAAAACCATACTAATGGTTGTTTAATCTGGCACTTAGGTATTGTCTTGTACTCTCAAGTATGTTCCTTCCGATGGAATCAAAATCAAACTGTT